ATCGGCCATGATACCAATATCATTAAGCCTGAATCTCATGAGAACACCAAGTAGACTGTTTAGCAAATCAGGGCCGGATAGAAGCACGTTGTTTAACGGTACACCATTACACTGTGCAGAGGAGTCAAACACGATTCTAACTTGGTCTGGTTTCTTAGGATGGTAAACGCTGAAGATGGGTAAGTACCAGAACTCGTCTGTGTCCTTTAACGGTGGTGCTAACTCTGCATGCTGTGCATCAAGAATACGCTTCATGAAGGCAACTGCATGTTCACATTTCACTGGGTTCTTCCTCAGGCTAGTGTCTAAAATCATAGCTCTTTTCAGTGCGTGTTGTCTATTGTCTGGTAGTCTCTGTCTTGGTTCTCGAAACGGTAATGGTGCAACCCATTGGCCACTATCATCACGAGTAAATTCCTTTTCCATGATAGCCAAAAATTCCTTGTCCTCCACAGACAACCCAGGCTTATCATCATCATGAGATGTCTGGAAAATGTTCTCCCCAATCGACTCATGTCTATTCTGATGTCTAATGAGTACATCACACTGTCTCTCTTCAGGTATGTTTTCCTTCACTTGGATATTATTTGGACATGGTGTAGACAATGTCGCTCTTCCATCTGACAAAACTGCAATTTTGTTTGCTACGACGATATCCGGTCTGTGAGTTCTTCCGAGACATACTTCTCCTACAATAACCCATCCAAGATGAAGTTTCTGAGCATGTGGCGTATTAGGAGGTCCAACTCTCTGTTCCATAACATGATGCACATCACCAAGGTCACGTCCTATCAATAGGAGGATGCTGGTATTTTCATCTAATGGCATCAGGTGTTTAGATATTTCCTGTAAATGAGGATATCTGTCTGCTACTTCAGGAGTTGGTATCTCACGTCTGTTATCAGGGATTTCATCGCACTCAATAACAGGTGGAAGCTTGAACTGACAACTTCCATCAATGGCTTCTACTACTAGTCCGTTGACTCTTCTACCGCTACAGGTGGATTGTCCGCTGCATGAAAACAGAGTATATGATTCTGCATCACTCTGGATACTGAAGAAGTCAAATAGTTCGGATCTGGCTAGTGTTCTATTACTCTGTTCATCGATGATTGCATACACCTTTATAGCGTTCTCCTTGTTATCCTGATGATAAATTTGTACAGGAAGTACCTTTGCACATGATCGGCCACTGAAAGTAGTTCCACAAAGTTCGGTACACTTATTTGAGACGTGTTTTTATCTGGGTTTTCTCCCCGCCGTGAACAAGTCCTTTGTTTACTTTTGACTGTTCCTTCTCTCCTTCACCAACAGGTCTGGAATCAAACTTTCTTTGTTCCGTGTGCAAAGCTGTTGCATGGCGACTGCTTCCACAAAGTTCACATTTAACATTCGCTTTACAGTGTCTTGACAAATGTTTGGATTCACAGCACTTATAACAGAAATCCTTTTCCCGGAGAAAATCCTTCCTTTCTTGTAACGGCATGGCTAGGAATGTTCTACAGTGGTTCAATGAATGAGATGCTTTGTGAATAGGACATCTTGGAGACTGTTCTTGTCTTTCTTGCTTATTTCTGTCATCATCTACTGTGAGGTCGGTTTTCCTGTTGTGAACACTTAATGATCGCTTCGGTTCAGTAGGTCTTTTATCCACTATTCCTGATGTAGTTCCGTCATGATGGAAAGCTGGGTCATTCTTCACAATGCTGAGTTCCCGTATGAAATTCACTAAGAAACTGAATGGCGGAAACGGAACACTATGGTATTTCTTATACTTGGACGCTTGCAACACCCACTTATCTTGTAGACTTTGCGGCAACTTGCTGATGATGGGAATAATGCCAAAAGATGAGTCATAGTATGACAGGAGTTTAGCATACTGGACGTTCTCCTTTGCCGATTCTATCTCTGTCAAGATGTCTAGCAGATCGTACAGCATTTTCGGTTCCTTCATGTTTATTTTAGGAAATTTGTTGAGTTTGTTCTTCAAGGCAGCTTCTACCATTTCTGGTCTACCATAACGCTCCTCGAGTCGTTCCCAAATTCGGTAGAGTCCTTTGGGTGGATCATTGATGTTGGAACCTCTAATGCTGCTAGCGAATTTCTTCGATTCTGGTCCTAACTGCTTGATCAAAAAATCCATTTCTTCAAATGCGGAAATGTTCAATTCTCTCACTATACTTGTGAAGCTAGCCTTCCATGTTTGATAACAATCCGGCTTATCGTTGAATGGACTAAACCGTGACATCAGGAGATCTTTCTTAAGAAGAAATTGTGTCAAGTTGGCAGTCACTCCGACATGTGAATACGGGTAGAATTCCTGAGCTGCTGGATTCAGGTTGAAGTTACTGACATTCGGAGCGGCAGGTTCAATTGGTGTCTTCACATTGGTTTGTGATGAAATGTCTCTAACATCTTTGTTATCCTCTTTGTCCATGTAATCATTTTTATACAGTTGTTCAAAGGACACATAATCACTCTTTGCTTCACTGCACTTTGAATGTTCACTAACATAGTTTGCTGTGTATTCTCGTTTAGTTGCACGTAAGGAATCATTACTGCCCAAGGGATATCGTTTCGGTAATGAAGGTGTCATCTGAGATCCTTGATCCTCAATGTCATCTATTTCCTCTTTCAATGAATCTACATTCTTCTGACATTCTAAGAGTCTAATTTTGGCTTCAAGTAAGGCTTTCTGCTTCTGGAGCTCTGTTTCCTTTTCAGCATACTGGAGTTTCTTTAACTGTGTCTTAGTATCCTGCTGCGTTTTCTTAGATGCCGAGGAACGACGACTGTTGTTTGAGAAGGAAACTTCAGATCTTGTTTCAAATTTTTCAGAAAATATTTCAGCAGCATATATTAGCAAGTCTTGAATCTGATGATCAAAATTGTTCATAAAACTCATACATTTCCGGTGTCGAATCATCTGGTTTTCCAATTCTGAATCAGCTTCATCTGTACGAGAGTGTCTGAGAAAAGAAATGAGGGTCTCATAACTTCCCATGTATTCAGATTTGGCCTCTTCAAATTTCTCTTCAATTTCCCTTAGATACTTAATATCTGAGCTGGAGTCATCAAATTCTGTCAAGATTGTTTCAAAAACTCTCCTGGCTTTCTTGAGGGCGCTCAAGTAGGACTGTAAGTTGGTCTGGTACAACTCGTAGCCTCCTGGAGTTAACGTGCGTACTCTACCTTCCATCTCTGACATCACTGTACACTTTCTTTACTATTCTGCCTGTATATCGCAGATAGTATAACCACACAACAATCGGTGCATTGATTTATTGTGATAACGGTAAAGAACTGAAACAAAACAAAAACAAAGAATTACTCATCAGTTACATGATAACTGATGTCACTATATAACTATAGATGTAGCATAAATTGTGTAATAGGTTGTAAATAAAAAATATTCAAAAGATAAATAGACATGATTCACTATAAATTCCAAAATATAAAGTTATGACAAAAATGGGTTTCCATAGAAAAATGTTATGAACGTACTCCAGTTTTAAGTTTAAAGATTATGACAACAACAGTGTTCCATACTTTCAAGAGATAACAATAGATATTCCTAATAAACAAATTACAAACACATTTCATACAAAAACACTGTAGATATGATAAATATACGCGTAATAAACAAAAATAGCACAGGTTTATTTACAGTGTGTGGCAGCTCAAGTCAAAAAATGAAGAAATCTAGCAAGGGTCTCCATGTGTGGGTCACATAGGAAATACTAACAGGAAGTGAGGATTTTAGGAAAAGTAACTCCAAATTTACAAGTAAAAAGATAACTCTTGAAATAATGACAGATAACTATTTGATTAAGAGAGATAACTCTAGCTCTGAAATAGATACAAAAGATTTAGGAAAAATATAAATATATAAATACAAATTAAATGTTGATAAACATTACAAAGTAGGTCAAACTCTAAGGTCAAGGTCATACTTTTTGTTATCAAATGAAATGTCTTGTCACAAGAATTAAATATGTAAAGTATGAAAGATCTAGCCCAAACACTTTAAAATTTATGGACAAGGTTTGCTTTCTCAAAGTAGGTCAATCTCAAAGGTCAAGGTCAAAGGGTCAAAGTACTTGGTCTTTTCACAAGGATTATATATATGAAGTATGAAAGCCTTATCCTTTACTGCTCAAAAGTTATGGCCAAGGTTAAAGTTTTTCACCAGTACGGAAATCTGCAAGGTCAAGGTCAAAGGGTCAAAATTGTTGGTATCCAATGAAAGGTCTGTCAACAAAGATTATAAAAGTCCCTGGTATCTCCTTTTCAAAAGATATGGCCAAACCTATTTTTATGTTAATGTGGGTCAAACTCCAAGGTAATAAGGTCAAATTTGGTGGTACCCAATAAAAGGGCTTGTCACATGGAATACTAGTACACATGTGTAAGATGAAAGTCATAGCTCCACTAAATCAAAAGTTATGGGCAAGGTTTAAGTTTGTGCGGACAAACAGAGAGACAGATAAACAATGAGGACATACAATGCAATCTACACTTCAAACAGTACTTCAAAATTCACTGACATATTGGCTTGCACAAAAATTAACAAATTATACTGTAAACGTATTAAATTTGGCTGTGTATTCTTTTTAGCGCTGTAGGCGGAAAGAAAGTTCCACTAATTAAGTACAATGCTAAATGTTTTGCAAATATACACAGAAATATGAACATTAAGATATTCACTATATCAAATCTATTTACACTTACTTGTTCAAAAATCAATTTATGCCAAAATATATACCGGTACTTGCTGATTATAATATATTTACAGTATCTTTGCTTAAACTTTTCTCTTTTAAAAAGACCACAATATCTTCACCTCAAATGCTGAATACATGTATTGAATTAACAGAAATCTGGTACTTGTGTATATATAGTATACTTAAAATTTTATTGAGATTGCTTAAAATATGAGTGCAATTATTGCACATTGTTTTAATATGACATTTCAAAAAGTAACACAGTAAATTTGATTAAGCAGACTAAATGTACAAGTTGTAGAAAAAAATAAGCTATCAAAGAGTCTTTTAACTAAAGTCTCAACATCATTTTTCTGTAATGGACATGCAGCAATCTCACAAGAAAAGTAACATACTAATTTCAAACATTACATTCAATATATTTTTAGATCAAACACAAATGTAGGGCTCAATAATCTGAAATTAGCTTGTTACATGTATATTGTGAATTCAATGTATTTTCACTACATATATTTAAACATATTCTGCAGGTAAGAAAATCACAACTACATGCATTGACCCCTTTGCTGAAGTTCCAAAAGAGGAAGAGTTGCTTTTAAGCATCAGTCAAATTCTAACCAGTATCTTGGGCTGTGAATGGATACCAGTGGACATTTGTGTCCCCAACATAAGGGAATGAAGAAATGACAAAATACCTAAACAAGAGGCCCAGGGGCCACAGCGCTCACCTGAGCACATCAGGCTTGAATTTACTCCCCCCCCCCCCTCCAGGCGTTCATCATTTGAACAAACTAGAATCAACACAACCTGAGGATGATTCCATATAAATATCACTAAACATAGCTTTGAAGTACTTGAAAAGAAGATTTTAAAAGGTTTCCCTATATATCCCTATGTAAAACTTTGGTCGGCCATTTTGGCCCCACTCTAGCCCCGGGGGTCAAGATTTGAACAAACTTGAATCTACACTACCTGAGGATGATTCCACATGAATTTTCCTCTCCTGGCCCAGTGGTTCTTGAGAAGGATTTTTAAAGATATTTCCTATATATTCCTATCTAAAACTTGGGTCGGCCAATTTGGCCCCACCCTTGCCCCGGGGGTCATGATTTGAACAAACTTGTATCTACACTACCTGAGGATGATTCCACATGAGTTTCATCTTTCCTGGCCCAGTGGTTCTTCAGAAGGATTTTTAAAGATATTTCCTATATATATTCTTATGTAAAACTTGGGTCGGCCATTTTGGCCCCACCCTTGCCCCGGGGGTCAAGATTTGAATAAACTTGAATCTACACTACCTGAGGATGATTCCACATGAGTTTCATCTTTCCTGGCCCAGTGGTTCTGGAGAAGAAGATTTTTAAAGATTTTTAGTATATATTCCTATGTAAAACTTGGGTCGGCCATTTTGGCCCCACCCTTGCCCCGGGGGTCATGATTTGAACAAACTTGAATCTACACTACCTGAGAATGATTCCACATGAGTTTCATCTTTCCTGGCCCAGTGGTTCTTGAGAAGAAGATTTTTAAAGATATTTCCTATATATTCCTATGTCAACTTGGGTCGGCCATTTTGGCCCCATCCTTACCCCGGGGGTCATGATTTGAACAAACTTGAATCTACACTACCTGAGGATGATTCCACATGAGTTTCATCTGTCCTGTTTTAGTGGTTCTGGAGAAGAAGATTTTTAAAAGATTTTTCTTACATATTCCTATGTAAAACTAGGGTCGGCCATTTTGGCCCCACCCTAGCCCCGGGGGTCATGATTTGAATAAACTTGAATCTACACTACCCGAGGATGATTCTACATGAGTTTCATCTTTCCTGGCCCAATGGTTCTTGAGAAGAAGACTTTTAAAGATTTTTCCTATATATTCCTATATAAAACTAGGGTCGGCCATTTTGGCCCCACCCTTGCCCCGGGGGTCATGATTTGAACAAACTTGAATCTATACTACCTAAGGATGCTTCCAAATGAGTTTCATCTTTCCTGGCCCAGCGGTTCTGGAGAAGAAGATTTTTTAAAAATGCCATTAATTTTTAACAAATTCATGATTATCTCCCCTTGGAAAAGGGTGTGGCCCTTCATTTGAACAAATTTGAATCCCCTTCACCCAAGGATACTTTGTGCCAAGTTTGGTTGAAATTGGCCCAGTGGTTCTTGAGAAGAAGATGAAAATGTGAAAAGTTTACGACAACGCCAACGCCAACGACAACGACGACGACGACAGACCACGGACAAATTTTGATCAGAAAAGCTCACTTGAGCCTTCGGCTCAAGTGAGCTAAAAATAAATAAGCAGATTTAGAAACAAGAAGTCCATGTGATTAAAGGTCACCAGAGCATCATGTAACAACTTTCCAACAATTGAATTTGGTTCATATTTTAAACCAGAGGCCATGACATTCATATTTTAAAAAGATGCACAATTATTTTTTCTTCAGATGCTTTATGCCAAAATTGGTTGAGCTATTGAAGAGAAGCTGAAAAAGTTCAAATGTTAAAGCACGACATCAGACAACAAGCAAGAGGCCTATTGGCCACATCGCTCAGCTGAGCACATGGGCTAGTTAAACAAGAGGCCCACGGGCCTTATAGGTCATCTGAGCATTATGCAACAACTTTCCAGTTACAGTGTATTGAATTTGATTCAATAACATGTTTTAAGCCAGATGCTATATGGCATTCACAATTTTGAAAGAGCACCATTGATCATCATAACAATAAACTTAGCAGTCACTTAGCTTGGTTACTGAATACCCATATGCAGGGTAGGGGAACAAAAATGCACTCCAACTAATCAGTAATATTCATCAATATAATCAGTAGTGCCACTAACACTCTGACATAAACCCCTGACCCTAGGTTGCACAAATTTTTAAAAGGCATCCTTAAAATTGCCTATCAAAAATAAATAAATGTTTTATAAATACAAAGGACCAGATTTCAAACAATTAATTCATTTCCAGCATATAAGTTATAGAGCCCCCCCCCCCCCCCCACCCCTGACCCTGGGGCCTTGAAGTTCACAATTCTGCAAGATTAGGGCCTTTGCTCATCATAACTACATAGGTAGTTCATCTGCTTCATACCCAGAGACAGAGAAGAAGATTTTCAAAGAATTCATGTTATTTCACTATATAATCAATAGAGCCCCACCCTAACACCAAAACCCCTTACCCTAGGGCCATAAAATTCGCAATTTTTGTAGAGGCACTCTTGCTCATCATAACTATGCACTTAGTTGGTTTATTTTATACCTAGGAGCAGAGAAGAAGATTTTCAAAGAATTCATGTAATTTCAATATAAAATCAATAGAGCCCCCCCCCCCTCCCACACCAGAACCCATGATGATAGGGCCATTAAATTCACAATTTTGGTTGAGGCACATTTGCTCATCATAACTACTATGCACTTAGTTAGTTTTTATAATACCTAGGAACAAGAAGAAGATTTTCAAGGAATTCATATATTTTCACTATATTATCAATAGAGCCCCCCCCCCCAGAACCCTTGACCCTGGGGCCATAAAATTCACAATCTTAGTTGAGAAACACTTGCTTATCATCACTATGTACTTAGTTAGTTTATTTGATACCTAGGAGCAGAGAAGAAGATTTTCAAAGAATTCATGTAATTTCACTTTATAAACAATAAAGTACCCCCCCCCCACCAGAACCATTGATGCTGGGGCCATGAAATTCACAATTTTTGTAGAGGCACTCTTGATCATCATAACTATTTACTTACTTAGTTTATTTAATACCTAGGAGCAGAGAAGAAGATTTTCAAAGAATTCATGTTATTTCACTATATAATCAATAGAGCCCCCCCCCCAACACAGAACCCTTGACCCTGGGGCCATAAAATTCACAATTTTGGTAGAGGCACTCTTTCTCATCATAAATATGCACTTAGTTAGTTTATTTAATACCTAGGAGCAGAGAAGAAGATTTTCAAAGAATTCATGTAATTTCACTATATAATCAATGAGCCCCCCCCCAACACCAGAACCCTTGACCCTGGGGCCATAAAATTCACAATTTTGGTAGAGGCACTCTTGCTCATCATAACTTTTTACTTACTTGGTTTATTTAATACCCAGGAGCAGAGAAGAAGATTTTCAAAGAAATCATGTATTTTTACTATATAATCAATAGAGCCCCACCCTAACACAGGAACCCCTGACCCTGGGGCCATAAAATTCACAAATTTGGTAGAGGCACTCTTGCTCATCATAACTATGTACTTAGTTGGTTTATTTAACACCCAGGAGCAGAGAAGAAGATTTTCAAAGAAATAATGCATTTTCACTATATACTTATTTAGCCCCGCCCTAGCACTAAAATCCCGGACCCCAGAGCCATGAATTTCACATTTTTGGTAGAGGACTCAATGCTGATTACAATCATACAAATAGTTTGACTGCTTGATGTCCAGGAGTAAAGAAGAAGATTTTTAAAGATTGCATTAATTTTAGTGGTTTTGGCCCCACCCCTCAGGCCCCAGGGGGGCAGGGATTATGAAATTAACAATTTTTGTTCCCCTTCACCCATAGATGCTTTGTGCCGAATTTGGTTGAAATTGGTTCAGTGGTTGCAGAGAAGAAGCTGAAAATGTTTAAATGTTAACACATGACAAACGACGCACAACGGACGACGACGGACGAAAACGGATAGCAATAGGTCACCTGAGTTACTCAGGTGACCTAAAAACACAAATCAGCTCAGTTGTAATGAAAAATTTACTTGTTATGGGAGGGGGCTTTTAATTTTTGATTACTTAGGAATGTCGCTTTATCAATAAAGTATACATGTATAATTTCTCTATACTTAAAGAAGAGTTTTAAAGATTTTTTCCTATATATTTCTTTGTAAAGATTTGATTGCCCCTTTACTATGGCCCCACCTTACCCCAAGGGGTCATGATATGAACAAACTTGAATTACCTCTAAGGATGTTTCCATATTAATATCCCCATTAATTATAATAGCTTTGCTGGTCTTGAGAAAAAGATTTTTTCTATATAATCCTATGCAAAACTTTGTTCAGCCAATGTGGCCCAACCCTATCCCCAGGGGTCATTGTTTAAATACTAGTAATTTAGAATCTACACTACCCCATGAAGCTTACATTCAAATTTCAGCTTTTCTGACCCAGTGGTACTTGAGAAGAAGATTTTAAAAGAGTTTTCCATTACATATTTTGATCAATGTTAAATTATTTGATTTCATATCACTGGCCCATCCCATCCCCAGGGATAATGATATGAACTAGTAGGAATCTACACTATCCAAAGATATAAAATATACATAAATTGAAAAACTGTTATGAACCCTTTTGTCAGATTTTAAATGAATGCTTTAAAGAAACCAAGTAATAACTGCTCGTAATATACATACACTATCGTTGCTCCAAAAACACAGAATTTTATGTGTCCAGCGGCTTGTAAAATTTCTGCTGTTATAAGGCTGGAACAGGTTTCTAACACTCTGCGCATTTCTATGGTTGTTAACTGGCAGTCACTGTGGTGAATAACGAAAACATGGTGGCATTGGTGCCGCAGCTGCTTCAGTTTGAGAACTTTGCATTCGTCTGAGACCTGCAATTTAATTCATCATACAATTTTACTTTTTAAATTGTCTTAAATCCCTTGTGATGGATGATGGATTTATGAGGTTAATAGAAAAAATTATTTTTTTTTTCCTTTGGCTTTTTAAAAATCTTTTATACAGAAATACAATTCAACAGCTAGATTTCTTACTTTACTTTACCTTTAAACAGCTCTGTAGCTTTTTCCAAACATTTGATAATTTCTTCTTTTTTATCTTCCATAACAGCTGAAGAATAAAATTAATTTAAATGTACAGCATAAATATGCAGAGTTTTATATACTCTATAAATATTTTCAGTGATACGTACCATATTATACTGTAAATCACTTTTTAGTCGCAATAACTTTATTTTCGCGTAATTTCTCGAGACAATGTGCTCACAAAAAATAATTATCGCGTATAATAGTATTTCTTCGGATTATAAAGAGCAAGAACCACAATTCAAGATTTTTGTCTCGCTTAAGAAGAGTGAATGACTATCTCACGAAAATAAAGTGTCGCTAAAATTTAATGATCTACAGTATCAGGGACTTTACAAATTTTGAGTCTTCTCTAATCCAATCTGTTACATGTAAGTTTTCCTGGGGAGTAGCTCAGATTTGACATGGAATAGTATTCTGTTTGGGAAATTTTTGGTTGGAAAAAGTTTTTAAGAATCAGTTTTACTAGGATTTTATTTTTATTTGTATAAAAACAGGGGTGGACACTAAGGGTTTGTTTTACATCCCCCCAGGTGTTATGCGACAGTGAATATGACCGAAATCACACTGAGAGAAATGAATGTACAATATTGAATATAAGCAGATATTAAGCAAGTCATTAATAGCGACAGTAGCTGCAGAAATGTAGCTCTCCAAAAAAATATATTGACAGACCGGGCTTTACTCTTAGCTGTCAAAATAAATTATTATTCTCAGGGAGCTACAGTTCTGTGGCTATAGCAGTAGTTGAGCGTCACTCTATGGTATACTGTATACAGGGAAATTTTTGCCCCCGTTTTATTTTCGTCCCTTTCACCCTACCCTCTATCGGAAGAATTTAAAACAGGACGAATTCAAAGTTTACAGTATCATTTCCTAAACAAAACTATAAGTGGCCGAATTTTAAATGGGACAAAATTGTTTTCAATCGTGAAAGGGCGAAAATAACACGGGATGAAAATAACATTGTATACAGTATTATACAATTAATTACCCCTTGTGAGGTCAACATGGTGAAATAAGGACCTGAGACCTGGCCCACGAGGTGACCTGTCCTGACCGAGGCCGCGTAGCGGACGAGGTCAGGGCAGGTCACCTCGTGGGCCAGGTCTCAGGTCCTTATTTCACCATGTTGAACTCACAAGGGGTAATCAATTGTTTTATTATACTGATATACATTGAAAAGTATGAATTTCTATCTGTTATCAATTCTTTCTTTGATCGGGATCACGCGCTTCGCTACACTCCATATAGTGAAGTCGTTTACATTGACATCTGCAAGTCGTGTAAGTTTTTGCATCATGATTTACTGATTAAAACAATATTTGGTTGATAGCAACAATTACAATGTTATATCTAATGATTACTTTTCCCCTACACAGTCAAAATCTAACACAGAATTCAACACTTTAAAGAGCCGCCTCTACATTCTATTGAACTGATATGTTGAAACGATATATTCATAAAATTTTACCGCATTCTGTATGGTAATCATAATGCAAAACAGACCATGCACAATTTTTAAAACATTTTTTTTGAATAATTATTATTTTATGCATTAGCTTTACTCAAAAACGAATTTTTGATTAAGCGGTCATTTTTAGCGGTCATTTAAAATAATGACCGGGTCATTATATCCCACGTGCAATGATTCCTAGGTCAGTGTTGCTGTAAACGGTACCATTTGGAGTCATTGTTGTGTTTTAAAGTTTTCTTAACAGCCAATCAAATTCGAGGATTATCAATAGAGGTATAATAAATTGGTTTAGCATCTGACAGATGTTTTTCCCACCTTTTACATGTAGCTGTATTCTTACCTGATAAGTACATCTTAAATGGGGTTGACACCAATCAGACCATTAGAATTTCTGACGTCAGCATAAATTTCCAAAGCTGTTCGTTTAATTTACCCACTGATGAATGAATTTCAATGCTGTAGAAGAAATATTTATATTTTAGATAATCAATATTGAATATATCATGTTTATGTAAAAACAAAATTAAATTTGTTATAAATGTGAGCAAGTGACTCTGGAATATTTATAATTAAGTTGCGGTCTTATAAAGTAAAAAAAAAATCTCTACGGTTTATACGGTGACGAAGTACAAGTAACTATTTATGCAGAGAATCAAAAAACCATGTGTCACAGTAGAGTGGGTAGACTATTTAAACAGGTCGAGTCCAAATACTATTTCTACCTATGTGTAGCTATTAATAGCTACATGTACCTGTACCTAGGTATTTAAAGCTACCCAAAGTAGCTATTTTTACCTACTTTCTGCTTGGCTTGCACTTTGTGGCCAAATGCAGGTCACCTGGTGAAATTTTATCAAGAAAACCACTATTTGCTCTTATAAATCTATCAGATACATTCCTCCCCAAAATTCAGATATAAAGGAAAATGCTCCAGATGGAGTTATGCCCACTAGTGCTTTAAAAGTATTATGATTCTTATAGTTACTGTATGTCTGGCTTTGAGCTGTTGGACTTCTAGGTTTCTGGATGAATACCTCAGTACAGTCGATAATTACACGAGCATTAGGAAATGATGCTTTAAATGACCTTGGCATAAATTTTCGTATATTCTGCACGGATGGCCATTTAATCTGAGGAGCAAACACTCGATACATGTAATTTATCCAAGTATTGAAGATTTGGGACACACGACTCTCTGATATTCCAAAAATATCCTTAAGAATACCTATGTTAAATCCTGACGAATTCTAAGTAGCGTAAGAAGGTACTCGTGGAACATTGTGAGCTTTCTCTCAGGACCAGGTTTTCTAGCATTGCCCTCTTCATAGCGCTTTTCATCTATGCTATCTTTGCCAGACCAATATTTGAGTTTCTTGCATGCATTTTCAAGTATGCCTATAAAAACACAATGCAGCCTTTTATTATTGTTACTGTTCATAATGTAAATTATCACTTAATCCTGAAAGAAATTGTTTTGTTATTACTTTCATCAACATTTGAAAATTTTTTGTATTTACACGCAAATGTTAAATGAATTTTATTGCAATAAATACTTACTGAATAGACCAAAAAGTATAGAAATACTGGGTAACCCAAAATATCTTCTGACTGATGCATCAGAGCTTGTGGCTTTATGAACAAACAATTCACGCAAAACATTCCCTTTGGAATAACTGGCACTCTCTGTCTCCATGATGTTTATAGCATGTACGGAAAGATCTGTTTGGACTTCTGCATTACTGTACTCTGGGTACTTTCTGTGTGCAATACTGTATTCATGATCTGTGTGCAGTTCTAAAATTTGTTAAAGTACATAAACTTTTTATGTAGAATACCATTAATCCAATAAAAACAAGAATCTCAGAGTAACTTGCATGCATTACATGTATTACCATAATATATTAAGCTAAATTTTGGAAATTCATAAAGAACATCAAAATTAATGCCCATACGTTGTATGATTTTAGTGTCTTTTTTCCCATGCTTCACTTCTGCATTTTCTTCGTTCACTATGGTGGTACTGATTGTGCACTCGCTATGTACGGGCAAAGGGATTACACTTCCATCATGAAGTATAGTGACACTCTGAAAAAAATTAGAAATTATTTTTAATAATAATAATAAAACAAAAATCTAATCTGCAAATTTCATGGTCTATTTACATGTAGGTTGAAAATGTGAATTATGTACATGTACTTCCTAAATAAATCTAGTACTTATTATGTACATAGAGTAGATTATTACACACCATTGTTGAAACCTGAGGTGGGCAATCTGCAGTATTATTGTTGAGATCCTTTAGAATCTCCCTTTTGACAATGGATTTCCTGCTTCTCTTCAAGGGTGGGCCTTCTCCAAAGTTATTTCGAGGAAACAAGGTAGGTACTGGATGCTGTTCAGATGGACAGCCAACAACGAAATGTAAGGAACACACTCTGTGATGCCTTCAAGGATCATATTTTTCTTCCCGAAAAATCTGATTGAGCCACATTCCGAAAAGGAAAAAAACTACATATGTTTTCATTTTAATATTTACTACATCAAAAAACCAATTCAATTAATTATGTTACTTTTGTTTTGAACATGCACTGTAAACAATTTTTTTCTAATCAACTATTAAACACTACATTCAGATTCTTATTCTGTTTAATATAAGTCACAAGATTTATACACCAAGTAAATACATGTACAAGTACATGTACCATGTCACCGCATGTGGAAGTTCTTTAAAAAATATTAGAGTGCATGTATATTCAACTTCAAGGGTCTCTATGTTTACAGACACATGAATTTTCAACAATAAATTAAGTAATGACCTCAATGAAAACCTACTCCTCAATATATAGAAACACATATGTATGTACATACTATAACCAATATCAGGGAAGTTTTGTGTGTGTATGAGTGTTTTTTTAATAGTTCATACAGAGCTTTTATTGCAATTTACTGTCAAAAAATCAGGTGCCTGCGGCATTGTTTGGTCCTCAACAGTGAATTAAAACGTGTACTGATTAGAAATAACACATTAACAAACAATATATAATTACGTACATATTCAACCTACCTGCGTCGCAGCGAAGGATTGTGATGCCGTCCCGGGTAGGCATAAAATGTCACACCTTTCATCCATGGATAGGAAGCTAAATTGGCTTTCTTCCGACCATCGGCAGTACAACCAGGTACAGAGCACCAATATGAACTGGGTTCATCCACTGATTTCTTTGTCTGCGTCCGTTCTTTTCCCATTCAAATCGCAATAGCGCGCGTCTGCTAACTTTCACTTTCTCGCCTTCTTGCCTAACAATTTGTGCATTATCACGTGACAGAGATTCTAATTGCTGAACCAAAAACGACCGTAACTACATATCTCGGAAGTTCCGTATTATCTCCCTTGAATGAATGCTTGGCCCTTCATTTGAACAAACTTGAATCCCCTTCACCCAAGGATGCTTTGTCACAGTGGCAAGTTTGGTTGAAATTAGCCCAGAGGTTCTGGAGAAGAAGTAGAAAATGAAAAAAGTTTACAGACAGACAGACGGACAGCTAGA